GATCCACAGGGGCTGTTCCAAGACCTCTAGTGGATGCCAGAAACCACAGATAGTGCCAAACCCTACATATACTATGATTTTTCCTATACATACATATCTATGACAAAGTTTAATTTATAAATTAGGCAATTTCACAGGTAGAAGATTCATTCTTATTATAGATCTTAGCAACCTCAACATACAATTTTTTCTTTCCTTAGGTTGAAAGATTTCACCTTTTCACTTAACAGAAGCACTTTTTGGCTTCTTTTTGGCATCTCCAATTTACCAGCATCACCACTCTTGCACTTTGGGGCCATTATTAAGTAAAATAAGAGTTATTTGCACACAGGCACTACAATACTGCAACAGTCAATCTGATAACCACGATGGCTACTAAGTGACTCAGGTGCGTAACATACACAGCATGCACACGCTGGAAAAAAGGAATGATTCAGATGGAGCAATACAACAACATCGTGAGATTTCATCGTGCTACTCAGAACCGCTGGCAATTTAAAACTTGTGAATTGTTTACTTCTGGAATTTCCCATTTAATATTTTCCGATCACAGTTGACCACAAGTAACTGTGGAACTGCAGACAAGTGGGGATTACTACATTACAGAAAGGGAAGTCAAAAAAACCTGAGAAGGTGCAGTTGATTCTATCCAGAACGGTTAAAGAAAATTTAAAGAGGTTGATATTTTAGTCAGGCATTAAACACTAAGAAGTATTTTAATAAGCAGAGGAGGAGGAAGAAGCTCCTGGGTCAAGCAAATCCATCAGTGGGAAAGTAGTTCCAATGGAGCAGAGGGGAAGAACCCAATGGGATGAAATGGCAAAATAAAGAAGTGGAACCAACAAATAACTACTATCAAAAAGTAGAAGGAAAAGGGGAATAGAAAAGTTTGTTGCTTATATGGTTTAAAACTCAAAGAAAGGGAGAATAAAACCCTTATAAAGAGTAAACAAGAGTTCTATCTCTTCATACAGCAAATCCTTTATCCGAACAATGTGGGACACAGATAACCAATGTTTTTAAACCATGGAAGAGGTCGATAATTCAGAGGCAGAGCTCTTCAAACTGTAAAAAGCATCTATTTAAAACCATACAACCGGAGTAAGTTCATGGAACAATTCCCATTTCAGTCTAAGATTAAGTACCACTCACTGCTTCAAAAGTAAGAAAAAGAGATCAGAATTAGGTTTTAGGCCTAATGAAAAGAATATTTCTACAATAAAATATATCACTAATTTTAGGATTTAGCCTTGAGACAAAAACAATATAACCAAAATCTCCATATCATTCCTCCAAACTTTCAAAGAGAAACCAATACTATTTAAACATTTGATCAGTTAAGTGAAGCATGTTTCACAGGTAGTGACTAGAATTCAGAAAAGGCTTAACTGTAAGGAACATAATACTCCCTGCTCACAGCATCCCTGTTCACTGGAAACCACTCTACTCAGTAGCAGCAGAGGATCAAAACGTGGTCTTATCATGCCAAAAACTCCTCCAAACTGTTACCCTTTTACAAAGTCTGACATTCTTCTTCATGAGCTGTCTAAGCCAGTGTGGCTATGGTCCAAACACATAGACATACTCATAAATGTATGCAAGTTTTAGTTACCAGCCATGTAAATTATCAAGGTCACTGTACCTTTTACTTTTTTATATTAAAAGCTGCAAACAATATGAGATCCTCCACCATGTGTAATTATCTTATTTGGAGTAAAATTAAATATCGTTAAATCCCAGGACTTCTCTGTGCTGCCCAGTATGTCTGTAGGCCTTCTCATACAACCACCATTTAGTGTGATGTGTCAGAATACAAACTAATGTAAACCAGAAGCATGAGAATAGTCTGCAATAAATCTCTATATTCTGACATGGAAATGTGTTCATGATATCATTAAATGGAAAAAGTATTACAGAATAATAATTATGATTTCATTTGTATAAAAAAGTATTATATATTTGCATATAGGTGTGCTTAGAAAATGGGGGGATGCATATTGATAGATGAATAGTAGCTATAAGTGAAAAGATGAAGAGTTGAAGAGCATGAAGACAGTGAAAGGGACTTCATACCAAAACACACACACACATACACACACACACACACAATGGTTAATTGTTGTGTCTAGATTTTGTACAAAAAAGACAAACTTAAAGAAAAAAAAATAACCAAGTCAAGTTACTTACTAAGGTCAGTCTGTTGGGGGGGAAAAAAATTACCCAATTTCTAGTATTTTGTGAACTCTCTAAGGCACATTTGCCCTCCAATAATAAAGACAACTGTCACTTGTATTATTCATAAAGTGAATAATACATAAAAATGCAACTTTGTTCCTTCTTAGTCATCATTTCTACACAGATATCTATACTTCCCCTTACTTATACTCATTCTCACCCAAATTACTTAATAGTAAATCTTAACATTCCCAACCATCACCATTATTTATTGAGCACCCACCATGTTTAAAGCCCAGTGCTATGGCACACAAAAAAATTATATCTGCCATAAGGCCTTATGAAAAAGTTGAAAAGAGATGCTCTGAGGTTAATACATAGATAGCTCTAGGTTGAAAAAGTAGTTGTCTTCACACCCCCTGCCCCAAGCCTTATCATTATTTAATGCTGAGAGATGTTTTTCAAGTGTGAAATGTCCTTCATATGAGCTGACAATTGGCCCATTTTTTTTTTTAATTTTATTTAGAGAGAAACTAAGGCTAATATGTAGGTTATAAGAGCTATCTTAAATAACTGATAACAAATCCTCTGAATAGCAATTCCTCTGAATACTATTTATTTACTGAAAATGTCTAAGATTTCACCTTCACATTTTGACACAAAACAAATTTTAGCTCCCATTATCACCCTAAAATTTGTTCTAGATCAAAATTCATGTGCTTAAAAAATACATAATTTCACTACGAGTTGCATTTGTACATTAACAGTTTGCTATAAAATCTGCAGTACAATTATTATGGGACATTTATAAAAATACACAGTAGAATACTGCCTAAAAAGGTCTTAAACATTTAAAAGACTTACCTCATCACAGTCTCCTTCAACCATGGCATATATAGCTTTTTTAACCAAGTTAGTACCTAGAATATAGATCTGAGTATTAATGAAGGAAAAATGTTATTAGTTTCTTAAAGATACCTAAATCATAACATCATAACAGGCATAGAAATGTCAAATGCTTAGTTCTACCTTGAAAGCAGATACACAGATTATCTCAAATTGAGAAAAATTTTAGATTTAAAATGAAAGGCCAAGCCTGGCCAGCGTGGCTTGGCGGTTGAGCATCGATCTACGATCCAGGAGATGGCGGTTATATTCCTGATCAGGGAACATGCTGGGGTTGCAGGCTCAATCTCCAGTGGGAGGGCATACAGGCGGCAGCCAATCAATGACTCTCTCATCATTGATGTTTCTATCTCTCTCTCTCCCTCTCCCTTCCTCTCTCTGAAATCAATAAAGACATATTTAAAAAAAATAAAATAAATAAAATGAGAGGCCAAGAGAACCTACACATTGCAGTGTAAGTTTTCTCTTGAAAGACTTAAGTCCTGATATATTTCTTTTTCTCGGGTATAATTATTTGCTCCAAGCAGGAGTTTCTGCTATTTTGTTTGAAGGTAAACAGGAAAAAAGAAAAAGGGGAGATAAAACATAGCTGAGCAACCCAAGAACTTCTTGAATTGGCCAGAACTCACTGCCTATGACCCTTGGACCAATCTTGCCAAAGATCACACCAGAATTGCTGTGACCCAAAGTAGGCCCAAGACACGGGGTTGGTTCCTACAAACTTTATAGTGAGCCTGGGCACAATGAAGTGTGGCACTCCCATATGATGTGAGTGGCGTGTCTGCAAATGCCTAACAAAATGTATCCTAGTTTAGGGTCAGGTATATTTGATACATGAACGGGAAGACAACTGCAAAATGTGATTTTAAGAAAGAAATCCAAATTTTATAAGAAATCTCTTCATTCTCAAAACATGAGCAAACGTGTATTAAGTGGGCCAAACAAAATGCCTGAGGGCTAGGATGCAACCCTCAAGCCACCGGCTTCTGCCCTCTTAAACAGCCAAATTGCCTACCATTTATCAGCTCTTTTTAATGCATCCAAGTCTCACAGTTGGCTTATATAACAAGCCTGATTCATTAAAAATCTTAGTGGTAAACTATAACACTGTAAGTTGGCTAAACCTAATGTATTAAGTAAACCTGTTCTTAGTGATTTCTCATGATATCTAAGGTTGTGTCTTAAACTGAGCAATAACACTAATAGTTGAGAAAAAACTACAAGTGACAAAACTGCTGGTAATTAAATACTGGTACAGGCATCAAATGTTCTTTCATGAATACTAACTTAGTTTCAGTACATCCCAGAATTTGACACACCCAGACAAGTTCATGTCAACTTGCTCTTCCATCTTAAAGAGCCAGCAGGTCCCAAACACTAGGACAGGCTTCCATCACAGTTGCCTGGGAAAGCTTTAGCCCTGCTTCCAACAAAACAAACAAGATTCTCAGGGGGAGGGGCCTACGTATTTGTTTTTTAACCACCCAGATGACTCTAATGACCATTTTAAGATTAACTGAAAAATGCCAAGAAAGAGATGACTGGGAATAGTAAGAATTTCCTTTCATGGTCTTCCCTGAATTGTTAATATGATGTTTGATGACTAGTACTAAATAATGGCAACAATTTCTCCACAATTTTGCCTTGATTGAGGTCCACTTAACCCAAGTATAGATAGCTGGTTGAGGGCTATGATCAAGTGCCCTGATAATGCTATAAAAAGCTACAGTACTTAGTATAATGCAAAGCATTCTGAACATAATAAAAAAACCCAAACATGTGGAGATAAAAAATGGTCACCTTGCCCGGCCACTGTGGCTCAGTGGTTGAGCGTCAACCCATGACCCAGGAGATGACAGTTCAATTCCCAGTCAGGGCACATGCCTGGGTTGCGGGCTTGACCTCCATTAGGGGGCATGCAGGAGGCAGCCAATCAATGACTCTCTCATCACTGATGTTTCTCTCTCTCTCTCTCCTTTCTTCTCTATGAAATCAATAAAAACATATTTTTTAAAAAAAGTGGTCACCTGCTACTTATTAAAAAGATAACCTATCAAACAACTTTTTTAAATAAAAACATTTTGGCCCCCTGGCCAGTATGGGTCAGTTGGTTGAACATCATCCCTTGCACTGAAAAGTTGGCAGTTTGAATCCTGGTCAGGGCACATGATAGAGTTTCGAAGTTTCGAGCTTGATCCTTGGTGGGGGGCATGCGGGAGGCAGCAGATCAATGTTATACTCTCACTTCGATGTTTCTCTCCCTTCCTCTCTCCCTCTCAAAAAAAAAAAAAACCAACTTTAAAAAAAAAAAAGCATTTTGGGAATATTTTAAGTAAAACCAATCTTAATTTTCTTCCCTTAGCATCATGCTCATTTCTACATATTTACATTTAAGTCTTTTGCTTCAACATACAAAAAAGAAAAATAACTTATGCATTCTTTTAGTGACAAAATATTTTTCTTACCAATGCCATTTCTCCTGTATTTGGAATCCACGGCTAACATGGCTATATAACCTCTGCGGAACATCTTTTTGTGCATATCCAACTTGCAAACGATGGCACCTACACACTCTTCCCCTACCATGGCCTTAAAAATAAACAGATAGTTATGAAGAACATAATGCCACCAGGTACTGCACCCAAGGAAACAGCAACCAACCACTGGTCACCATTTTCGAGGCAGAAAGAGATGATGAGAATTTTAGCAAGAGAGCAAAAGTTTCAGAAATCTAAGTCCCAAAGCTCCTACAAATATTCTAGTTTTAAAATCTTTCACCATTCTTTAGAACATGAATTTCTTATACTTATTATCAAAGCATAGGGGGAAAAAGCAAAATTCCACAAGTAAACATTCAAGTGCTTCATTAAAGGTCTCTAATTATAATTAGCTTTATAAGAGATTTATAATTATAATTATTTGTGATAAAGACCTACATATTTAAGACTTGGGAAGGAGAAATATGTGAAAACAGTTTTTTAAAGAAAAAGTCTATTCATTAGTATATGATAAAATATTGTGAAACTTGCTTATTGACAGAGTACAATAACTTTAATTATAATAAAGCTTTAGTGAAAGGTGTGACAATATTTATACTTCAACAGTGGAGTTAAATTTTGATCAGGAAAAAAATGTAAAAGATTTTCAGAAAAAGGATTGTTTTAAGGTATTTCTTGGATCCTAACCAAGGGTTTTTTGTTATTGAGGTACTACAAAGATTACATATATGACGGTCTCATTTTTGGACACTCTTGACAGTGTGAGTCATTGTCATAAAGCTCATAATATAACTAGAACTCAAAATCACAGCTTTCCATTTAAACAAAAATGTACAGCTTTCCAGAGTAATTAAGATTTCCAATGTTACCACTGAAAATATGTTTTTCAAAAATTCTACCACTGATAAAAAGTTCTAGTAATACTGTATTCTGGTAAATATAAATAGGGCAATAGCTCCAATTGTTTAATAATGTGTCAGCCAGAAATAATTATTTGCTGTAAAGAGTCCTCATTTAAAAAATGAAAACTTCAAATTATCTCTTAATAAAATGAACTTTTCAGAAGAAACTATTTCAATAACAAAAACCAAGAATGGGTTTAAAAAAGTTAATAAGAAAAGCCCGATTTATACTTAATACCTATTTTAATTTAAATTTGTTGTAAGATTGTTTTAGTCCATCATTCTAGAAAATGATTAAAAAGCCCTTTTTTTAAAAAAAACAAAAACTGTGGAGAAATCTTTTAGGCACAATAATTCTAATCCATGTCATGCAAACCTAAATTAGGTCAGAAAAATCCTTCTGAAGGAATATTAAATTCAACAATTCACACTAATTAACTTCTGGTTTATCACACAATCCAAAACTATTTGGGGCCATTTTCATTCATGATAAATCAATCTGGTGCTTTCAAAATCTTTTGAAAACTAAAATTTCTTTCTGTATTAAGACCTGAAATATATACGAAAGTTGCTTGGATGAAAAATTCTGACAGCATTTTCCGATATAAAAACTCACTTCAAATACATGTGTGTGGTTATGTGCACGTGTACACGTCACAGAACAATGGTACATTAAAAAAAAAAAATTGGACCTGGCCTCATTAGCTAGGGAAAATGGAAATCTACATAAACCTATGAAACAAAACTATAGTATAGCTACTCTTTGAAGTGAATGAACCATCCAAAAGAGGAAAAATTTAAAACCACTATATACAATACAGCTGGACAACACTTTCAAATTAGATAGGAATTTCAAACAAATCTTTGTCCTTTGACCAAGGAAGTAACAAGCAAACAAAGTATATTAGTTCCCTCTTGGACTAAATTGATTTCTTCCTAATTAAGAATCTGTAGGAGCAAGAATCGAGTTATACATAATATCACTTAAAAATAAAAGACCAATATATAATACATTATTATTAACAAGATGTTGGTAGTGAGGAAGGCCAATGCTAGCTTTTTACTGGTAAACTGATAAATATACACTTATAAGAATAACTAAACTGTCAATTTTTCCAAATAAAAGCTTCTGCACATACATTTGGAACTCATACTATTAAGTGTGTTCTTTTGTCAGATGGGAACCGAAAAATTCCTGGCAAGATTAAGACTTAACTCTAAAAGCCAAAGGCTTATCAATTTATAGTACATGAAAAATATAAATCATGTGAAAGAGATTCCCAAATCCCAGATCACTACAAATAGGAAAGAAGCACTTCCAGAGGAAGCCGGAAAGTTAAATTTAGAACAAACAAATGGAAGTACTATACATTACTGGTAATAAGTTTAAGAAGTTCGAAAACACACCAACAGAAAATACCATGAACTGAAAAGAGGTAGTGAGAAATTTGTTAAGTACAGAGTAAGTGACAGTGTCCCATTTGAATAGTACTCTCCTTTCAAGTTACATTTATTAGAAAGAACCATAAGAAACTGTCATTTCGCCCTGGCCAGGTGGCTCAGTTGACTGGAGCATCATCCTTACACCAAAAGGTTTCGGGTTTGATTCCCGGTCAGTGCACACACCTAGGTTGTGGGTTCATTCCCCAGTCGGGGCATGTTCAGGAGGAAACAACTGATGTTTCTATCACATGGGTGTCTCTCTCTCTCTAAAAATCAATAAAAATATATCCTCCAGTGAGGATAAAAAAAAAAAAAAAGAAAAGAAACTGTCATTTCTGTTAGTCAAATATGGTCAAGTATAGGCAATTTTTTAAGGTTCAACCCCATATATTCCATTTGATCCACTACAGGTTACTCATGGAAACCAGGAATATTTTGGAGGCTTCTAATCACTTGAGATTGATGTTTGTAAGGACATCTGTCCTTTGATGAAGTATAACTTCGTAACATAATGATCTTCACTGAATGGGTCAAAGGTATGTTATTTTTCACACTATTTCCATTAGGCCAGGAGACCTGGGTTCTAGTTTTACCTGCCTGCCACTATCTAGAGGTTTAAACATTTTAAAGTCACTGGTCCTTAACTGTTTTTGTTAAAAAAATTAAGTTGAGTTAGATTATCTCTAGGATCCCTTACAGTTCTAAAATGATATGATTTAAAATAAATATGCACATTTATATTTGTTTTAAATTCATTCTGATGGGAAATTCAAAATTTTAAAATGCCAAAATGGCCTCTAATTGTTTAGCTATTGTTTTATGTTCCATACCATTAGATTCATACTTATACTAGTAAATCTTATTGGTCAACCACTTGTTCATATTTCAATTTCTAGATATTCAGAATTCAATGTTAAACTGACTTTCAAGGGCTGAAGTACAAATTAACTGGTGAATTGGGAGAAGTTTCTATAAAATCAAAACTAAGGTTTACTAATTTTATCAGAGTCTAAAATGGCAGAGAAGTTGAGAGAGGCCTAGGTGATATAACTCAAAATTGACTAAATATCATATACAGGGTTTTGGTTGTTTGTATGGAAAATAATACAATAATTAGTAAGTAATACAATAATAAACTGTTTCACGTACTCACAACTGTAAACCTACTTTTACCCATCCCCATATATACTATTTTCTGAAGTTAACAAAAATATACTATTTCAATTTAAAGTGTGACTCAATTGTATGCTTCTGTGGGTTAATTTACAGTTAAGTCAATCTACAATGTTTAGCAATTACAATGGCATTTGATATGACATTTATAATGGTGCCAAAAGAATAATTTTCCCATTTTGATATAATAGTTAGAATCCTATGAGGAGTTTGTAAAATATAAAATAGTTCCCACAGTTAAAAAGACTAAACTTAAGTTCAGTAAAGTGAACACAGAAAATAGCAGAACTACCATCATTTACAATACTGAGGATATATTTTCAGATTATCACTAGGCTACAGAATGAAAAAGATGATTTCTGAAGTATTGTTAAAACATCTTGCAGGGAATTACCAAGTGCAACTAAATCAATGTTGAAACAATAAATAATAGTAGTGGCTTTTCCCTTTACAAATCACAAAATACTCTTTAAAAGCATGTTGCCTTTCCGAAAAATTCAATGGAAACAACATGCTTGTGAGTACATAATATAAGTGAAAGATTTCAAACGGGGTGAAATTAGTCAATATAATTGGAAAGAAACTATTGGTACTGCGAGTACTACATCAAGTTTTAAAAAACTGTTCAGCTTATTTGTGCCCCAGTCTTTTTTGCTTACATATAAATAAAAATTTTGTCAATTATACTTCACACAGGCCAGTGTTACTACAAGTATTTAGGCATATCTATGACCAGTTTCTTTAAAAAAAAAAAAATTAAGTTAGTAACAATTTCACACTTAGTTTCCTACATTTCACAAAAGGGTATTTTGTTCAAATTTCAGTTTTTCAGCCACCAGAAGTGTTAGTAGTGCCTTCTGCAATCAAGCACCTGGCTACAACTGTTAATTGTACTGTTGAAGTAAAAGGAAACAATCTCCATAATTACAGAATATGCTTGTAAGATTTAATTCTCCAATGTGGCCACAGCAAGTTTACTGACAATCATGTTCACCAAAACATGTTTATGCACACACTCTTCCCTGATTATAGCTGTAATTAAGAGATTAATAAGGTCTGCATCCGAACAGAATCATGTTCAAATTAAATGATTGCAAAGCACTTTGAGGATGAGGGAGGGTAATTAAAGAGGTTAAACATTATTATAAGCTAATGCAAACAGGATATAAGACCCCCAACACACAACGTACAGGCTTGCTGCATTTACATCAGTATCAAGTTAACCCAGATCATGAATTCTTACCTTCAAAAGTTTCAACAAATACCTAGGAGCGAGTACACGCACTTTATATCACGCAGCGCACTATGAAATGCAGGATAGATCCACTGCCACTCTCTTCCCTCACACTCCCTGCCCTGCAAGGCCTGGATCTCTCTGCTGGGTTCACCCTCTTTCCATTCCATCCACTTACCAAGAAACACAGCTGTGGCCAGTTGTGGATAAAATATCTATAGGTATAAATGGAGTAGGGTTCAGACAGATCTTTGGTGATCAGTCTCATGATATCGGGCATTTGTAGCTCGGATTCATATCGGACATAACGTATCGTCCGATCCTCCCCAGGCTCAACCTCCCTGCCTGAGGGGCTTCTTAAACTGCAGCCGGCGGTCAGGGATGAAGACAGCAGCCGCACCTGCTCGTCTTCCTCCTCCTCCTGCTCGGTGCCCTCCGCCAGTCCATTGCGGGCCGCCGCGGGACCGCTCGCCGACGCTGCCTCTGCGGGGCTGGGGAGCGCAGTTCTTGCAATGCTGGGGAGGCAGTGAGGGGGGCTCTCGCCCGAGCGTACCCCGGCTCCTTTTGTTGCAGTCGCTCTGGGGCCCCCGTCTGGGGTGGCCGTGGTCGCCTCAGCCGCGCTTAAAACCTTGCTCTTGAGAGAGGCGGCCGCCCGGAGGTGCCGCAGTTCGGGGCTAATCAATCCGTTGAGCTGCTGCTGCTCCTGCGGCGGCTGAGGGCACCGGAGGCACGGATGCCCCTTGGCCGCCACCGTCGCCTCGCCGCCCGCCGGACTCCTGCCGCCGCCGCCTTCGTGCTCCTCGTCGTCCTCCTCGTCCTCGCTGCAGCAGGCGAGGGCGGCCCCCGCCGGGAAGGGACAGCGGGGCTCAGCCACCGCCGAGGCCGGAGGTGCCGGGGGTGGGAGGAGGCTGCTAGGCCCAGGCGGTACCTCCGCCATCCTAGAGGCGACACAAACCGAGAGGGGAAGCCATGAGACCCGGCCGACGAGCGCGCAGCAAGGGGGGCGGCGGGGGTCGNCTCCGCTCACGCTCTTCAGCGCCGCCCAGCTGCTCAGCCGGCCACCGTCCCCGTCCGCCCGGGCCCATCCGCCAGCCCTGTCACCGCTGCCCCTCCCCGTCCCCTCCGCGAGGCTCACCCGGCACAGGTCCCCGCCGCCACTGCCGGCACTCCTCTTTCTCCTCAGCCGCCGCCGCCGCCTCCTTCGCCGCCGCGGCCGCCTCCGCCGCCAAGGCTCACACTCAGCCGCCGTCGCCGTAAAGCGCCTCTGCTGTTACCCCGGGTAAAGTTTCCTGGGCCTGGCTTTACGACACTTCCCTGCCTGCCGGCTGCCGGGGCCAAGGGAAAGGGGCGTGGAGGGAGGTGACCTGTGGAGGGGCGGGGACGGAGGTGTCTACTGCGGGTTGCGGGGGAGGCGCGTGCTAGTGGGCGGGGCTGCGGGGCT